TATATTTTGCCAAAAAATTAAGTTGGGTCATGATATTGGTGTCCATAGCTTTTCAACGGTATATCGCAAGCCCCATTTCGACAATGTTGGCGGAAGTTCAACCTAGTTCACAGGGAAATTCAACGTACTACTAGCGGGGCAGGTCAGGTTATGATCAGAATAGTGTTTATGTATGTATATATATATATATATATATATATATATATATATATATAGGAAAATAGTTGTGTACTCCTGGGAGTACGCACTTCCGCTCCTCATATACCACGTAGATAAATCTTTTATATCTTTTTATTATTTTTAACATACTTCATAAGTAATTATTAGATACCCAACATACTTCATTAGTAATTATTAGATAACCCAAAATGAGTTTCATGAAAAAATTCAAGTGAGTCTATATATTTTTAAATGTTTACGTATATACTGATGTGTTTGTACATGAAAAAGATATATTACAAAAAATACGTCGCAAATGCTATTTTTTTAACAAAACTCGTATTGGGGTATTTTAGAATATTTAATGAAGTATATTGAGAATAATAAAGTGGTATAATTAATGCGTATATGAGGTATATTGAGGATGAAAGTACATACTCCAAGGAGTATAGAAGAAGAGTCATATATATATATATATATATATATATATATATATATATTTATCTATTAATTATAGTCTACGCTTAAGGGCCCCTATATATGTTCCAATTTCGTCCCGGCCCTCAAATTCTCAGGACCAGCCGCGGACACCTGCAAAAAGTATGAAATGTGTCCTCCGACTCCATTGTTTCGTTGTTACTAATCGTGTGAGATAGATTTCCCGTCACACACGTTTAATTGGCGTCAATTGTGTGCGATGGCATCCCTTTGCATACCCTTCTTTTCAAAGAGACTGTGCGGCAGACCACAGCATCGTACATGTCTTCTTCGATGGTGTATGACCCATTTTGTTTTGTTGTCACTAATCATGTGGGATGGATCCCCTGTCACACACATTTAATCGGCGCCAATTGTGTGGTATCCCTTTGCCAACCCTTCTTTTCAAAGAGACCGTGCGCGCGGCAGACCACACCATCATACATGTCATCTCTGATTGTGTATGACCCCTCGACGCACATTCACGGTTTGGCGGTTCATGCACATGGTTCATTATAAACCGGGATTCGCAAGGTTATGAACCGTGTGTGATGACTAGTAGTCTTGAATCTTCTGAGAGCATCTCCAGCCGCGCCCCCCATAGGGCCCCCCAGGCGATTTTTTGGCCGCTGGCGCCGAAAATCGGCCCAGTCGCGTCCTCAAAGGCCCCTTTTTTCGCCGGCTCGGGCCGAAATTGGTGCCGACGGACCCAGGCCGAACCTGGCGCGCCGGGGGGCGCTTGGGGACGCCGTCCGAATCGTTTTTGCCATGAAAATCGCGCGCCCTCCTTGGCAGCGACTCAACTGTTCTCGTCACTTTGTCGTCCTCATTGCCTCGGTCCCCACGGGGGAACCAATGCCAAAACTGTCGCGCGCTGCTGCGCCGGTCAGCCTCCATTGATCCCTCACGGGCGGCACAGTGAAGGCGGTGGCGCTGCGCGTCCCTCGCCCGCCACACGTACACACGGGGTCCACGTGGGCGCCGCCTATATAAGTCGCCCCCTCCCGCACCGGTGAGCCACGCACAGACCTCGCTCTCCACCGCCGACGCCCCCGTTCCTCCCTCTCTTCTCGTCGTTTCCGGTTCATCCAATGGCCGAGCGCTACCGAGGCGATGGCGCGACGGCGAACGGCTTCGGCCGCCGCCACCTTCACAAGAACGAAGCCCGGCTTCTGTATGATGCCGAGTACCTGATCTCGCCGGACATGCGGGTGCCCGGGGCATGGAGGATAAGCACTGACGGGGTCCCGGTGCCACCGCCGCCCACCGGGGCGGCGCGTCGTGCGGAGATCACCCGTATCCGTGCCTCTCTACCGCAGGCGGCGAGAGAAGGGCCGATGTACACCCCCGGCAGATCGCTGTGGGAGCCGTACTTCCATCGCCGCCACGCCGAGCAGCTCGAGGCCACCAATGGCGTCGTTCCCTCCGGTAGGCTCAACGCCGACAGGCTCCGCCGATGGTGGGGCGTGCCCGGCCGCACGTTGGAGGCCGTCCTCGAGTACATCGAGGGCGGCAACACGCCGAGGCTGGAATATCCCGCTCCCCCCACCTCTCCCGCCGACGTGGGAGCTCCTGGACGCCGAGGCGCATGGACTCGGCGTCCTCCTCCTCATCCCGCCGCTTATCTGGCTCTTCTTCCCTCCTCCCTGTCAAGCTAGAGCCCCAGGATGCGCCGGTCAGCCGGCGCACCCGCTGCTGTGGCGTCCGCATTGCCGAGTCCTCCCCCACCTCCGCCCGCCTCGACAGGCCAAAGGTGGAGCCCAGCCTCCCCACGTTGTATGAGTCCATCGCCTGGTCTGGCTTCTCCGACGAGGCCCCCCTAAAGTGGGCGCGGGACGACTACCTCCGCGACGAGATGGTCCGGCAGCGCCGAGCCCTATAGGAAATAGCCGCCCGCCAGCGTGGGCGCGAGGACGAGCACGGCGTGGTGATCCTCGATATTGACGAGGACGAGGAAGCCCCTGGATCGTCCAACCCGCCCCGCGTCGGCGACCCTGGGCAGGGGAGCAGCTGGGATGGCGGCCGCGGAGGAGGCGACAACTGATACATCTCCGGCATATCTACTTTTCCAAACATTTTTCCCCTTATTTTGGACTCTAACTTGCATGATTTGAATGGAACTAACCCGGACTGACGATGTTTTCAGCAGAATTGCCATGGTGTTAATTTTGTGCAAAAATAAAAGTTCTCGGAATGACTTGAAAATCAACGGAGATTATTTTTTGAATATATAAAAAATACTAGAAGAAGAATCCACGTCAGGGGGCCCACACCCTGTCCATGAGGGTGGGGGCGCGCCTACCCCCTGGGCGTGCCCCCTGCCTCGTGGGCCCCCTGACGCTCCACCGACGTCCACCTTGACTCCATATATTCACTTTCGGGGAGAAAAAAAATCAAGGAGAAGGATTCATCGCGTTTTACGATACGGAGCCGCCGCTAAGCCCTAAATTCTCTCGGGAGGGCTGATCTGGAGTCCGTTCGGGGCTCCAGAGAGGGGAATCCGACGCCATCATCATCATCAACCTTCCTCCATCACCAATTTCATGATGTTCACCGCCGTGCATGAGTAATTCCATCGTAGGCTTGCTGGACGGTGATGGCTTGGATGGGATTTATCATGTAATCGAGTTAGTTTTATCAGGGTTTGATCCCTAGTATCCACTATGTTTTGAGATTGATGTTGCTATGACTTTGCTATGCTTAATGCTTGTCACTAGGGACCGAGTGCCATGATTTCATATCTGAATTTATTATGTTTTCATGAATATATGTGAGTTCTTGATCCTATCTTGCAAGTCTATAGTCACCTATTATGTGTTATGATCCGTTAACCCCGAAGTGACAATAATCGGGGCCATTACCGGTGATGACCGCAGTTTGAGGTGTTCATGTATTCACTATGTGTTAATGCTTTGGTCTGGTACTCAATTAAAAGGAGGCCTTAATATCCCTTAGTTTCCAATAGGACCCCGCTGCCACGGGAGGGTAGGACAAAAGATGTCATGCATGTTCTTTTCCATAAGCACGTATGGCTATATTCGGAATACATGCCTACATTACATTGGCGAACTGGAGCTACTTCTGTGTCACCCTATGTTATAATTGTTGCATGATCGATCGCATCCGACATATATCTCCATCACCGATCCAATGCCTACGAGCTTTTCATATATTGTTCTTCGCTTGTTTACTTTTCCGTTGCTACTATTACAATCACTATAAAACCAAAAAAAATAATTTTGCTACCGTTACCACTACTATCATATTACTTTGCTACTAAACTCTTTGCTGCAGATATTAAGTTTCTAGGTGTGGTTGAATTAACAATTCAGCTGCTAATACTTGAGAATATTCTTTGGCTCCCCTTGTGTCGAATCAATAAATTTGGGTTGAATACTCTACTCTTGAAAACTGTTACGATCCCCTATAATTGTGGATTATCAACGATGACGACGACGATGGCGACTACACGAAGTTCTACAGGCTCCTCGGCATGTAGAGCTTCTCAGGGCGGCGGGCGGCGAGGAACGGCGAGGACAGCTTGTCTAGTAGTGTTTTTTTTCTTTTTTTTTATAAAATAATTTATGAACTCGCCAAAGTTTGATTAAATTTACATCTTGTTTGTGCGAATGTTGGGCCGGATTTTGTTTAAAAAAACATGGACGCGGCGACTGAGAAGCATCACGCTCCCAGCACGGGATTTGCGCCTGTACGCCTCTGGACGGTAATTTTTAGCGCCTCCTGAAAGACCAACGGCTAGATATGCTCCGAGCATGGGAGGTTTGCCGTGGCCGTATCGCTGGTCCAAACAAGGCCACCATACTGGGGGCGCGATCCGTGTCTCCGGGTGGTTGACCTGGCCTATCAAGTCTTAATAATTAGCTCATATGGAATTGCATCCATGGGGGTAGAGCATGGACCCTGATGAATGTACAGAAATGGTTTAGGTATACTTCTTAGGTTAGACAAGATAAGTCTACGGTTGGTTGGTGGGGCCAGTTGGTTCGTGGTGATCAGCAATGGCGAATCCACGTATAGCGTTGATCATAATGGATCGACAATGAGTTGATAGCGATTATATATACTATTATATTACTCCCGGTCACGAGTTACATGCACCACGATTAGTATCTGTCGACACATGTAGGTGCTCACCAACATTTATCTTCAAATATTAAATAGCAAAGTTACATGCACCACGATACGATGTTGAAACATTATCGGTCTGAAATAGAGTGCAGTAGAAGTCTCTGAAACCTAACGAACGGGACAAACCATAAGGTAGACAGATGTATAGATCAGCAAGCAACGTGCGCCACACCATCGTCAAGCAGCAGACTTTTCTTTTATTTTTTGCGAGGAAGTCAAGCAGCATACTTGACGGCGATGTCAGCGAGGCAGCGCGCCAGCTCGGTCGGCGTCGAGAGCAACGCCATGTGGTCCGCGCCATCGATTTCCATCACCTCGTCCACGGGGTAGTTGTGCACCATCCACCGCTGGAACTGCTCGACGATGGCGTGGTCGTCCTTGAAGACGACGTACGCCTTGCGCACCGACCCGTAGCGGGCCTCGGTGTGCGGCGGCTGCAGCCTCAGGTCGTCCACGAACATGGAGTTGACCCTCATCAGGGATGGTCCCAGCGTGAGGTCCTGCCGGCCATATGATTTCAACATGCAACGTTAGAATTCCGGTCGATGTTCGAACAGATTGATTAGAAATGTACTAGTACATGCGAGGGTAATAACAGAGCGACAGGTACGGCGGCGGTGTACCTCCGGCGAACACAACTGGAAGAACTTTGCACGAGTGACCAGCGGCCCGAACAGCATGGAAGTAGGCAGCTTCCCCTCAGGATCTTGAGGCTTAAACTCCGTGTCCATCCAGTCCAGCGTTCTCCCCTCCACGAACTTTTTAGAGGAAAACTAATTAGATCGCGAGCAAACATTCAGGAGTACAAAAAACTAATTAGATCGCCAATAAGTCTGGTCAGGGATTTTTTGTTTCCGCCTCCAAATCTAGAGGAAATCTAAAGTTTGTACGTAGGTCTAGCATTTTTTGGTCATGGTGTGTACCTTTTCAAGGACGTACGACGGCGGCGACCTGTGGTCCGGCATGAAGGCGGCGACGAACACCGCAGCGGCGATCTTCTCCGGAAACAGCTCGCAGGCGAGGGCGACGTTCACGCCGCCGAGGCTGTGGCCGACGAGCACCACCTTCTCGCCGGACGGGAGGGACTCCAGGAGGTCCAGCAGCGGCTTGGTGTAGTCGCGGAACGTCGGCACCTCGCGCAGCGGCCTGGGGTCGACGCCGGACGCCGCGAGGTCAGGGGTGCTGACGCGGTGCCCGGCCGACCTGAGCCGCGTCGCCACCTTGAACCAGGACCAGCCGCCGAGGCATGCGCCGTGCACCAGGACGATGTGCGCGCTGCTAGCTTGGCCCGCACAAGCCTCCATGTGCATGGGTGGGGTTTTGTGGCTGTTTTTCTGTGCTTGAGCTGTAGCTGTGGCTCCGATGTCTACACACTGGGACGCTGTGGGATTTATATAACCGCTCTCGAAGGTTTTGCTTGGCAAACTGACATCGACCGGAAGAATCAAGTGGAAGGAGTTGGAGCTTATTAGCTAGCGAGGATAAGCTTGAATAATCATGTATGTGAAGTCAAAGGAAAATGAAGCCAGAGGCGGTCCTATTTTTATAAACTACTAGGAAATATGCACATGCATTGTAACAGGAAAGAAAATAATATCTCAGCCTTCCCCTATCCCCGCACACATTGGTCCACGCCCTCCATGTCAGCACAACACCCCACCTATATCGCTGGCGGTGACAGTTTAACCTTGTGTCGGTGGAACAATGTGGGCGGCGGCCATCAATAACAGAAGGAGATCATCGGCGGGAGGGCTCGGCCCCGTAGGGTTGGTGTTGTCGGTTAGCGCCTTGCCTATAGTCACCTCCTCCGTCAAGCGAACTGCCGCCGGCATTGCAAATATAATTTGGCCAGTAAATCTGTAACCAACATTATAGATCGTTCATCCACACACTAAAAATTGATCGATGATTCTGAAATAGTCAGAGCTTTCTGATCGCTTGTTTCGTGAGGAATTGCTAGAAATATAAATCCTTCTAAAAGAAAGCTCAAAATTCATCAAGGAGCTACATAAATTAACTCATATTTGTGGTCATAAGATCAATAGTACATTAGTTGTGCATTTAATTTTTGTAAGAGTAGCCCACACAACAAAATATATGCAATTTGAACTGTACTATTAAATAATTAGATAAGTGAAAGTATATAACCAACTTATTTCCAAACAGTACACACTTGAGGATTCCTGAAAAAAAGTACACACAAGGAGAATTCGCGAGTAGATCATCCCTGCGGGCCATGTGAACAGACACGTACATTATTCAAGATTCCCCAAAGTTTGTCATTTTAGCATATTCGCGAGTACGGATGCCAGCATGTTATCTTTAGGGAAGTATATATGCAAAATATCTCTTCAAAACCTACATAAACTTCGACGTACAAAAAACATTTCACAGGGAGAATTCCTGAAAAAACGTTTTATTTTGTACCCGCCGCCCACCTCAGGCCATGCATGCGGCCCTCATCGAGTTAGTGCACCACCGTTCTGCATCTGAGACGGTGTTGGCCATGTCAGACGGTGTTGGCCATGTCGATCTTCTTGTCGCACGTGTTGGGCCTCGTGGATAGAGAGTCGAGTTCTGATCTGTCTGGCTAGCTCGGTCAGAGCTTGCGTTGTTGTTGCGGCACCGGGGAGATGCGCGCCTAGGAGATCGGTTGTGATAATAAACCTAGACGTATAGAGAATGACATAATAGATATATGTCCGTGCTTTGCAATGAGAGAAGAAAAAAAATCTTTCATGTCTCTTGGCCATGGACCTTGCGTTGCAATGGAGAATATTCACTTATGCATGGATGATATAGTCAGATGATACTGTCAAGAATCATCTTAATCAAAAAAATTCATCCAACTTAATCCTCCTTTTGTTGAAGCATCATGCATGCACGGTACATTTGTCTACATAGAGCGGTTCATAGTTGAGTGCCCTTTCATATACTGAGGGAAAAAAACTTATCTGAATGCACTTTGCTCATTTTCCAATGAAACCTAGACACCATGTTCCACCCTTGACTCTCTTATCACCCAATGTCTACTTAAGCCTAATTTAGTGTTAAAATTAAAAGACAATTAACTAATTCTTTTGTCACGCAATTGCCTACTAAAACCTAATTTAGTGTTCCAATCAAAAGACGATGATATGTTCATAAAATATCTATTTTATTATTCAATTAATGGCGAATGAAATTAATTTAGCTCAATTTTTTTTGCGGGAAAATTAATTTAGCTCAATGGCAGAATGGCACATGTGAACTGCACATGTTCTAGCGTAAGTACAAATCTGTAACTTGCACGAATAAAATAAAATTCATAGGGTTCGTTCAAAAGAAAAAAACTAAAACCATAGGAAGGTTAAAAGGTACAAAAGGATAAAAGAAACTTAGGGAGAAGATTAATAATTTGCAAAGAAGAAAACACAGGCTGAGGTAAACGATTGTACACCAGGGTGCCACACTACATATAGCAAATTGCTTCGGCTACAACCATTTACTGCACTCCTAGCACATCTGACTACAGAGACCTGCGTTGGTGTGTGCCAGGTACGGAGTACATCGTATATAATTCCAGTATATCTAATGGAATATTTTTTTTTCCAGTCGGCTGATGGGTAGGTGCTCCCTTTCCTACGTATTCAAAACATACAGTACCAAGATTTGAGATTGCTACAGATTCGAAACGCATGCCTGCTGACGAACACAAAGCTCTAGTCGGTTCGTCCCTTCCGACAACCTCCTGCGCCGGGACCCATCAGCTGCGTCGCATGCAGCGAATCCGTCGCATACGATGAGCTCCTGTGTCTCGCTAGTTCCCGCCATCACCGATCACGTCGAGCACTGTACTGCCGCAGCAGCAGCTAGCATCGATCGCAACCAAAAACCCAGCTCGATACCTTACTTCACCTCACCCACCTCGATCGCCTGTATATATGTCGTGAGAGTCCTGGATATATAATGGCGGAGAGCTGCGTGCCGGCCATACCGATTGATAACGTACGTAAGTCTCGACCGGGCTGGTAGTAGTTGAGGTGACGGCCGGGGAGCTAGCTAGCTGCTCATCTCAGTTCAGTCATGTTGTCATGTCAGAGTCAAGCATAGCTGATCGGTCCGTCATGGTTTTTATGGAGGCGCAGGCGCGGCTACTGGTTGTTAGAGCATGTCCAACAGCCGCGCCAAAAAGGGGCGTGTGGTAAACTTTGTTTTCAGCGCGTGCTTGACGATTTCGCGCGTTCTAGCGCTGACGGGAAACAAGTGCGCGCGGAAAATGATTGCGCGCGCGGGAAAAGGCGGTCGCTCGCGCGCTACATTTGGCGCGTCGCATCTTGCGCGCCTATAAATTGCAGCGCCCTCTGCCGTTCTCTTCATCTTTTCATCGCCCTACGCCGCTCTCTCAATCTCTCCATCGCCCTCTGCCGCCGACACGTCACCACTGCGCCACCATGCCGCCTCGCTGTCGAGGAGGTACGGGCTACCGCAGCGTCCCCGTGCGTCCGTCCGGCACCTACTCCGTCGAGATTCGGTCAGGCGGCGGCATGCGGCTCCGTCTTGGAATCTTCGACACCGCCCAGGAGGACGCCCGCGCATACGACGTTGCGGCGTGGCGCCTCCTGCGGTCCCGTCAGGACATGAACTTCGCCGACGTATCGACGCGCACAGGAGTTGGCGCCTTTCCCGCGGCTTCTCACCGACAAGGATCGTCGCAAGCACCGGAGGCGGGAGCATCGTCTCAGGCTGGCCGAGATGGACGAGCAAGCCATGGCGCTATGGAGCCATCGCTTCCCGGAAGACACCAACGAGAAACAGTTCTTCGCCCAGAGGAGGGCGAAGAGGATGGAGGAGTGAGCCAACTATCGCGAGGACAAGCGAATGCGGAAGTCGGTCGTCAAATACAACGAAGCATTAGGAGATGCGTCCTCCTGGAACTCCAGCGACGAGCGGTTCCTTGACACCTACGCTCTAACGTCGGAGGAGGACATCACCGAGACAGAGTCCGAGTCGGACGAATAGTTATAGTAGTTTATATATCAAATCATCATAGTAGAAAAAACTGAAATATAGCGCGCCTGCTGGAGCGGCGTGGGCGCGCTTTAATTTGCGGCGGCTGCTGGAGCCAGCGCACCGCCGCGCGCAAAAACTGGCTAACCCGGCGCTGTATCTTGACTTTTAGCGCGCGGCGCGTTGCGCGGCTGTTGGAGATGCTCTTAGCCTGAATAAGCTCAAGTCCGCGTACGCTAGGTTGTGTATTCCGTTTTAAAATAAGGTGCAGCTCGGCTGATGTGACCCAGGCATGCACGTAGATTAGGGAGGCGTATGTAGTGGGCGGTCTCCGGTTTCCTTTCTGTTATTCTCTCCTGGTCGCTTGGCTTTCGCTATGGACGTGATTGCGGGATGGCGCGATCTACACGGATCATGGCGGCCGGCCAGACCGGGAGGGTAGACTAGCTCTTGTAATTCAGATAAAAGGAATGAGAAAACAGAAAGTTCTGCGCAGTTACGGCAGCACCAAAACTACTCGTCTCTCTCGCGTTCGTCAACCTCGTTCGATCTCTCTCTCTCTCTCTCTCTCTCTCTCGCTGGTCCGACAACGGCAATTTGCATCAGAGCCTTGGTGTTTGATCCCTCGCGGGCGATGGTGTGTGATCCGCGGAGCTCATGTAGGACGACGAGAATAAGAAGAAGGAGGAGGCGGCGGCGGGGCAGTCACCATCGGCCGGAGCGCCGCTTGCGCGCCTCACCTGCGGCGGCAGCAGCGAGATCCGCATCATCGAGCGGGTCGTGCACGAGTCGGAAAGCTCGTCAGCGTCCATGATGTTGACGAAGACAAACTACATTGAGTGGTCTCTTTTGATGCAGGTTAAGCTGCAAGCCAAGGGTCTCTGGACCGTGGTCGCCAATGGCAACGACGACGAGCGCGACAACAGGCGTGCTCTCTCCGTCATCCTTACGGGCATGCCGCCGAAGATGCTTCGTATTCTGACAGCCAAGGACATGGCCAAGACGGCCTAGGAAACCATCAAGATGCTCTGCATGGGGAGCGAGCGTGTGCGGGAGGCCAAGTCGCAGGTGCTCCGGCATGAGTTCGAGGTCCTCTGCTTCAAGGATGGCGAGACTGTCGAGGATTTTGCACTGCAGCTCGCCGGCGTCGTTGCCGATCTGGAGGTGGATGGCGATCCGGTGACGGAGCACAAGGCGGTCCAGAAATTCCTCCGAGTCGTGCCGCGAAAGTACAAGCAGATGGCCATGGCGATCGAGTCGTTGATCGACCTCAAGACATTGTCGGTCGAGGAGTTGACCGGGCGTCTCTCGGCGTGTGAGG